TCCACTGATCGGTCGGTCACGTGATCAATCACATGTCAACGACGTGCTGCTCCGGTTTCGAGACAACGACATCGACGACGTTACAACGAGCTGTCTCGATTCGTCGAATGCCGAAAATTGCTAAACACAACGTACGTCAACGTTTTTGTGCCAAGTACACATTTCGTCACTTTAATAGACACCCATAGCGCTTTGCAAAGTGGTGGGTATGAAGTAGTGGTCTTTTTCAATATTCTTCATCACAGCGTTTTGTCATTAAAGGGTAAAAGTTGCAGCTCTTAGCGTTGGTCAATCGCTGATTGATGCGCCATCTATTGGAATTCATTAGGCACCGTCAGAGGTGATTGAAAGCACATTGGTCTATACAATAACTAATGGTGGCCTAATGGTGTATCAAATCAATGCTGTTATTCTCTCGCAACTATGTTATTAATGTTTAACGTTTTGTTTTCTGCCTTCTATAATTTTCATGGCAGGTTACTAAGCGAAATACAACCACAACGTTGCTGAGATATTTGCAAAACTCTGGACCGCAGGTGTCTATGGTGGGGAACGAACGCGCTATTATCCTTTCCGGGGAGTAACGCGTTCACCACCACACCATGCGGGTCCTTTGTTTCGCACGTCTCTCAGCTATTTATCTATTTATCTATGTTATTAATCTTTAGAATCTGATGGAATGGAAGGCTTGGTGAGCTTGGAGCGCGAGATCAGACCATGGACCGACTCACTGTGGACAAACGAGCACGCTTTTATTCATAAGAACAGAACTCATTCAACTAAATTTCAGTGCAAATGTACTGCACTTACAAAAAGAACACTTTCTACTAACTGCTCGATCCACTTTTTCTGTTATTTATCAAATTGCTATGTTTGCGAATATCGTGACGAAATATTAACTAAGAAGCTGAAGACAGTTTAACGCTTCGGTGACTGCATAACGCATATGTAACTCATTCTGTTCTTGACTGCAGTACTGAAGCACATGGCTTTTTCCATGCTTTTCGTGTCCAATTGGTGGCTTATCCAAAATAGTCGTTGTGGAAGACTGGCCGATAACGTCTTTCTGAAAACAAGATGAGAGGGTTACAAAAGCAAATATGCGTTCTGTTCTGCGATGCTCAGTGAAGTCTAGGGCAATAAGTACGTCTTCGTATTGACGCTGTATAGAGTTCGAGGAATTGTCGTCACATTTATGTTTTCATCTGGAGCAGAAATAAATTTTTCGACGGAAATATTTGTTTCGCACTGGTTAAGGTTTCAGCGGAACGATGAATCTACTCAGCTAACCACTTTCAAAACCCCGAGCGAAGCTGCTCGAAGCGTTGATTTCAATTAAATGGACCACAGCCTCTTTTAAACGCTCACCGTTTTCTTTCTCCACTTTGTGACGCAGACTTGCCACACCCGTGAATACAGGACACCCTTCTCTGTGGTCCACCTATGGGTTATTGGAATCTGTTTTAAATTGTTGAGCTCACATAAGGTTGATAAACAACTTTTATTCGGCTAGCGTTTGGACGTCTTGGTGTTTATCAGAGTTGGCATTATAAGTTGAATGACTTGTAGGTGAAACTCCATCTTACTTTTCCGGAGAGCTTCTAGCTATATATTGCGCTGATTTTTCATATTCACTAATTTTGCAGTTAACGTCACCGTCAATCTTGTGTGGAACTGAGTCTATTATAATGATCGATTTTGAAAGGAAAATTTATTATTGTTATTGTTTACTTCCAAGCTTCAATGAAGAAATTAGACGTGTGCGCATAGGATTGTATACTTATTTGGCTCATGGAGTGGCAACATGGACTGATTACCGGGACATTTTTGTCTTCTCAGACAAGTCCACTGCGAATTCTTCGAATTCGAAGTGATGACGGTTTTCGTTAGCTATATGGAAGAAATCGAGCCAACGACCACGTGCATATACATTGTACATCTAAACACTGCACTAAGTGTTCGGTGGTTACTGTGGCGAGATGTTAGACAAAATGCTGACAAGATTTATAGAGTAATCTCATTGGCGGTTATTGAAACTTTAGTTAGCAGTGTTTTTGTTATCATAAATTCGCTGTTGTAGTCTTGAGCATCTAAAAATGACAAATTAGGGCTTTCCTCGATTCCATACTAACGGCAATTACACACACGCGCACAGACAGTTTCATCCTATTTATACACGCTCCCAAGGAACGCTAAAGTGGCTCATATTTGCCATGACAAATATAGCCAGGACACCTCATTACAGCGAGGTCCAGAGTGCAGTGGAATTGTTGTTCTCGTGGTCGGAAATGAGTGGTTGCTCGTTAATTGAAGCTCTCATGTTTGTTATTCCTTTCAATGCAGTGGATTCAAGGGAGAATATGTAGTGCAATAAAGCACTACACCGTTTTAGTCTTAAAAGTCGATTTTCACTAAACATCAGTAGGAATAATCAATAAAGTTCCTAGATATTTTAGCTGACACGAAGATTGTATAAAAAATATTAATTCGCTTAATGTTTCCACATCTTCCTCTCCTTCATTTTCCGACGGATCTGAGCCGATGATCCGCAGCCGATCCTTGTCGCCATGTTAGTATTCTTTGTCGCATCGAGTAGAGTCAGCTGGAGTGGAGCACAGATTAAACGAAGGAACTCAGTCGGTGGTGCTATTTTAGACAGGAAGGACGTTGATCTATTACCGCCAACCATTTTGATCTGCTCCTTCGGTGGGCAGTGCATCCTGCAGCAGTCGGCATTTCAGTAGCTGGCACATAGGAAAGCAATACCTTAATGTAGAACAATAGTGATTTTCCGTTGTGGTTTAATTAAGTGATGCAAAAAAAGTGGGCACACGTCGAGTTCCTGATTTTGATTTTTTTTTCGAAAGGCTAGTAAAATCATTCCAATTTCTAAGTGGATAATAATAACTGGTGAAGAAATATCACATGTAACAACATCATTGAAACTTGAAGAGCTCGATAGAGCCCTTTTAATTAAACAGTGGAGTGGTTTAAGTGAAAACGTGCTGTGCTATGTATCTGAGGAAATCGCAGTGTGTTAGGGCTAGAGGTCTGACGCCATGAACTGTCCACTACTGCCAGAAAAGAGCACTACTAATTCAGAGGAATGGTGTTGATCGAATTAGATCGAGTAATTGAGCGGGAACTAGCAGAAGTTATATCTATTTATTTACATCGTACGTATTTCGCGGATCGCAGAAACTATTTCATTTGAATCTACTTCTCGAATTCACAAAGGTCATCGGGCTCTCACTTTGGTACAGCTGCTGCTTGAAAATTTCTGATCCTCTGTATGGATGTCGTGAATGCTGGTCGAGTTGACCCTGCCTATAATCCGGCAAAGACTGTACTTGACCTTCTCGTGGTCATCATCCCAAAAGCTCTTGTTGATATTTACGGATCGAAGATTGCTCTATTCGGACAAGTCTGGGGCTAGTTTTCTAACCCCAGGGGAACACAAGTCTTAGGGATCTGTGGATGAGCGATCAAATCAGCAAGTGATCCATTGTCTAATGCAGCAAATTTCTTACCACTGCGCTTTAGCCACAAGAATTATCAGTGACAAACTTGGGTCTTTTTATCCCTGCAAGAGCGAATATATAACTTTGAAAACAAGATAAAAGGTTTTAGGATTTGGCTGGAACGTTTTCATCTACCTCTAATATTGTCCACTCCACAAGTTCTGATTACCACCTTCAGAACATCAAAGTCAGAATCTGGTTCTACGAAATAAACATCCTGGAATATTGGAGAGTCAGCGAGCTTTTGCATCAACGCAGTATTCGAGTCAATAAGAAGAGAAATTTGTATACATGCAGCACAGTAGTTAGAGGTGCTTTGCAGCACACCTCTGGTTCGATACACAGCTCTGAGCTCACAAAGCCTTTCATCCCTCCAAGGTTAGCAAGTTAGTGCCAACTTGTCTGCGAGTATAGCAGCATTGACTTTACCTATCAGTGGATCACCGTAAGTCACTGTACAAGTCAAATGTGCATTCACTCATCTGCACAATGTCTAAGTCAAATGCACAGCGCATCCCTCAAGGAGTTGGCAACGCCAAGAGCTTTGCCGTTCAGGAAAAATAATAGAGAAGGAAAATAGAAAACATTTTACCTGAAGAAGAAAGTGCAAGATTGCAGTTGTATGGAATCACATATTTTCTCCATTAACGAAATTTGTTCTTTCCAAAAGGGTTTCTAAGAAGAATGTATGAAAAGGCAATGGTTAAAGATAATACTACGTGACAATGCAGTTGCTTGTCGCAAATCATGTTTTTGAGGCAGTTCCCGGCACGGAATGCTTACTAGCTCCAGGCAGAATGCTCAAGTTACAATCCGAAAATTTTTTGAAGTTGTTACGGAGTGATAACTAAAATTTGCTTAATAAAACCTCCATAGCAATAATGAAACAAGAACCACGGTATTCCAACTTCGAAAGAAAACAGCGGAAATGTGGTAAAATAGTCAACAGGTGACACTAAGACTGCTTCGTAAGAGGATGCTTCGAAGTGAGATAGTAGCATAGTCATAGAATCGCGGAGGAAAGCAAAGTGCATGTATGATATTACCTGCGTTACATTTGGTCTCGTTGATCGTCGAGTGACTCGAGCGGGCGCCAGTTAATCTTTCATTTTCCCCTGTTCCGTGCAAGAGTAGTCCAGTGGGTTCTGCTCTCTCTGGGACTCGTTGGGCATCATATCATTCTTCCAGGCTTTTCATGAATAACTATGACCATCGAGTCGGTGGTCTTACTGCAATGCATTTGACATCCCGATAAATGCCGTAACTGAGGCTCTTGTCCATCGGTTGTCGTTCATACGCATTACGTGTCCGTCCCACATTATCTTCGACTGTTTGGCGTACAGAACGGTATCTTTGATTTTTGATCGTTAACGCAGATCGGAGCTTGGGATTCCATCCCTTACTTGTGTGGAACGGGATACTCCTAGCATCGTCCTTTCGACTGCGCGTTCGATAACGCTGAGTGACCTTTCATCCTGCTTACTCAGCGACCAGGTTTCTCATGCATACGTTAAGGCAGGTGTCAAAAAGATGGGCACGGAGTCGGGCGCTTCTTGTTCTCTTCACTGTATCCCCGATGCTCTTGAAAGCTCCACAAGCCTCTTGTTTACTTCTGCTCAACTCTGGAGCTAAATCGCTCATCCTATCGATTTCCCGACCTAGATAGACATAACTGGACCGTTCGGAGATATTCGTTCCGTTGAGCGTGAATGGGGCATACGAAACCAATCCGCTCCTCGTGAACATCGTTTCTGGGAGATTTAGTGGAAGACCAATCTTTCCACAGGCTTTATCAAAGTCGGCAAGCATTCGTTCCGCTAGGTTAATGTCTGGTGTTATAAGGACGGTGTCATCTGGTGCTGCTCGGTTTTTCACCGACAAAATGGCATATCGGATTTCGGAAGGGAGAACCGGTGGTACAACATATCTATCCTCCTTTATTTCATATGACGGAAGGTGGACGTGGTTAAGGAAGAGATCCGAGTAGTATTCGTGAATGATTTTCTCTATTGCATTTCTAGACGCTGTAACTGTTCCGTCTGGACGCCGGAAAGCAATCATTTTGGTCTTGTAATTGGCGAAGCTTCGGTGGGCTTTGCGAGCGCTTTTCCCAGCTTTGACCATTACTGATGCTCCTCTCTCTTTAAGACCTTTTTTATCGCCTCTCTACATCGTTGTGCAGGTTCGGACGTTAGTTTGCGGTTGGCAGCAGCTCGTGCGATTCTGCGCTGACGTATCAGCTCGAATGTTCCCGGAGGCAGACGTCTCTTAGTGACTTTCGAACTCTCAGCTTTCATAGCGCTAACGTGAAGACGTTGATAAGCCGATCGTATTCTTTGTCGATGTTATTGACAACGGCGTCTTTCCAACAGCCGAATAATGAATTGAATAAGTCCCAGTTTGTGGTGGTTTTGGCACTTCGTTTTTTAAATTTAGCAGTTTTCTCTCCCATGACCGACTTTCTGTTAACCTCGGCATTAATTGATAATTCAATGTTTTCTCTCCTTTCCGCGAGAAATGGAATCCTACACGAAGGAGTTGATGGTCTGAACCTGTGTAGAATTTTTGGACAACAGCTACATCGGTAGGAGAAAACCGTCGATTTACTATGACATGGTCTATTTCGTTATGGTATTCTCCATTGGGATATTACGAGTTATTATGGACGGTTTCGGCCGTCATGATAAATCCAGAGACCCTCTGATCCTGTTCGTTCCATTCTAATGCGCTGGTCATGGCGTTAAATTCTCTAATGATGACCTTGTAGAGTGAATGGTCTCTGTAGAACTTCTCCTAGTCCATATAGAACGCTACGACTTTTTCTTCTTCGTCATAGTTTGATGTCGGGGCGTAAGCGACGAAGACTGTCAAAGTCTGTGTTGATCCACATCTTTTTAATCGTAAACGTCCGATTCGGGTTTTTAGTTGTTCGAATGAATCAATGTTTTATGGACAAACTCGTGTTGGCGAGAACGCCGATGCTGCCAAGTTGTCCACTGTCACGTGTTCCGAGGAACAGTTCTACTCCGGTGTCATACACGGCGTTGAATGGGTGGCGTCGGGTCGTCACAGCCAAGCCGATGACGTTGTGCTTTACCTTCTTGCTTGCATGATCAAGTCTTCCATCGACGACTCGTATACAACTGTGCGTACATTGTAGGTGGAGATCGTCACCTTAGTTCTCAGCGATTTAGGCAACTTAGAATGGCTCTGAGCTTTTAGCAGCCTCTCCGTACTCGTCCTACCTAACGCTGCAGAATTGAGAGCTCTTTAGGGGTCAGGAGAATAAGGCCCGTTTATTTTTACTGTGTTTAGCCTTTTGATACCCACGTATAGCTTTCTGGGCTCTGAACGTGGGTGCTGGGTATACTCACGGGTGGCTTGCCCGGTTCTTCCGGAGTGGACATGGAGCTTATTTGTTGGAGGCGACTTCTAACCGCCTCTCATGTACTTTCCTGTCACTTGATTGCAGGTTTTTAGACGAAATGACCCTTAGAATAAAATCCGCATAAACTAGAACGCAGCCTCACACGTATGCATGAATACGCTTAGCAGATACAGAAAGCATGTGCCAATTCGGCCCAAAACAGGGAGTCCATACCCTAGATCTACCTGCGTTTCAGGGAAGCAAATGTTGCTTTTGGTCCTCCACTAGCCCTTATCTGCCACCTGTGGCGCGCCCTATAGCCTTACGACTAATCAGTTCGAGATCCCTCATATGAGCGAGATCCGTGGGTGTATAATATAGAAAATAGTCTTAAAAAGGATAAAGGATAAAGTTGTCGGCGTTGATCAATTTCTGAGGATGCGCCATGCATTCAACTTCATTAAGTATCGTTGGAGGTGGTTGAATGCATATCTGGCCTTTACAATGACTCGCGGTGGCCTACCGATGTGTCGAGCCAATGCTGCTATCCTCCTAGACACGTCTGGTACCAATTTGCCGACCTCGGAGGGATGTAGGGTTCGGTGCGCCATGGGCGCGGGTATCAACTCCACGTGTGTCGCAGTGGCGCCTCTAACCACTGCGCCGCACGCGCCCTAGAAAATAGTGCTGCAAGAGGTAATTACATCAGAGGACTCATGTGAGATCATAATGCCTGACTAATAATGATGATACGATAGGGATACACACCATATCTAAGCTTGTGATAACATTCCGGTTATATTAACCCATTAAGAAATACATGTAAGCCTGTGAAAACATTACGATTTGGTTGTAGCACTAATTATTACACATAAGCTTGTGATAACGTTAACATATCATAACCGCACAATAGGGTTAATATTTTAGAAGGTACACGGCAGTAAAACAAGGTTAGTGTAGAATCTCTTGCCATAAGGGTCAACAACTTGGATTATCTACCTAGTATAACGCATGAGACAAGCAGGAGGACCATAAGGGCTCTAACATAGGATACTGACTCACGAGGCCGAATAAATGTCCTATGGAGGGAAAGGTATTTTGACATAGATTCAGAACTTCCACGAAAACATTCATCCACCAACGGTTCTTCATTGCTCAGGTCCATCAGACAAAGAAAGGCGGGTCTTCCAAACATCTTTTTCCATTCGTGTTGCGGCACGCGTGGAGGCTTTGAACAAAAGTAACACGGAAAAAGCTCTGATTACACAAAGTGGTTAGCAAAACAAAGACTGTTGATTCAAGACAACGTTCTTCTGACTGAGATGAAAGCATTTTTATCTCGCAAGATTGCTATATGATATGAGAAACAGTGGATGTTTCCATTGCTTTAGGAATCTGCGATAATATGAAAAAATAATGACTATTCCAAGAGTAGTTGCCACAAGAGATAGTTTGTTATCATATGATCCCTTTAACGTAGCTTTTCAACTTGAATGATGACAAAAATGTTGGATGGTCAGTATGCTTTCTTCTAGAGCATGAAAAAGGTAATTTGAGTCATCGACCATGCTCTCTGAACCTCTTATATGTCGTTTATCACTTCTTTAATAATCCGACAACTTTCTGAGTGAGGAATTGTTCGGAATGCAAACAGAGACCAAAACTGCCTTTAATGACTTTATCGTCTCCGGAATTCTAGAATTCTTTGCAACAGATACGAATGAGCTCGATTTTCGTTGGCAAAACTGCGCAACTTCTAATGGTTTTTATTCCACTTGACAAAGTTTGTTTACAGCTGAGATATGCCACTTTATAAACATTATAGGTCGAAAGCCAGTACTAATTTCTGAAAACTTTAGCAACTGTTTACTAAGATACTAGGATAACATGTAATCACATGTTGTGGGGACTTCGATCTCTTGTAACCGTTATCCGTAAAATTGGTCGTTGAACTCATTTACGGCTTTGGCTCCAAGCGCTTTTTCTTCTCTCCGCAGTATCTTGAACGCTAGTCGACAGTGATTTTCCATGGGGACCTCACAAACGCTTCCTAGAACATACTCAGGTACTCACCAAAGGTAGTTTCTAGCCCCTGTGGAGTGGAAGGAAATTTGATCACTTCTATTCCTCAAGCATGAAAAGTTGAAAGGCACGAAAAAAAAAATTAAAGACGAGACGAAGGTCTTTAGAAATATCTCTCAACCATTTCATTTCTCTATTTAAGGCTTTCCTATCTTATTATTCGTGAGATAACGGCCACCACTTTTCTACTATTTTGCAAAAAAAAAAAAATGCGTTTCTAGCTCTGTTTTTTTTGCGTGGATTCATTGATAAGAGCTCATTTTAGTAGTTGAATGATGCCTCCTCAAGAACAGCTGCTTAAACTTCAACAGAGCTTCTACGGAATTAATAATCCGCAGTCAGCCAAGTGTTTGCTCCATGAAGCCCTGAGAGGGTCGTGCTAATGCCAGCCTTTATAGATCTGAACGATATTCAACAACAAAAGATTAAGTGGCTCCTTTCTCGTTCTGGACACACTAGTTCACTCTTAAATAGGTTTCCAAACGAAGATGTCGAAGTCCTTCTCATCGTGTGGAACCCTGTTGTAGCGGAATGCGCTTGAGTTATAAACCTCGATATATATCGCAGCGAGAGTTCCACACTAAGCAGGAAGAGGTGATGAGCTACTGGATTGAAAGGTAGGAGCAGTAATGTGTTAGTAAATTCAGCGGGATATGTATTCTTTCATTAATAGGCTAACACGAATTCGGTAAACAATATTATTCGGCTAACGCCTCGACGTCTGTGTCTTCCTCAGATCCGACAATTCAAGTCGATCTCCACAGTCGTTCTTCCCCTAGATGTGGTTTCTTCGTCGTCCTATTGAGTCGTTCCTTCATCAGTGGAGCATCACTTAAATGAGGCAACTACACCCAGTGATTCTGTTTTGTGCACGACGACTGTTGAAAACAGTGATTGTCCGGTGACAATGGTTTGTTTTTTCTAAACAGTCCATCCTGCAGAAGTCAGTATCATTATTCCGCTAGCACACAGCGGAAAAACATTTCACAAAGTGACTTTCCTTCAACCTCAGCACGTTTAATCAACATGTATTCTTTCACTGATAAGCTAAGAAGAGGTTTTGTTCGGCTAACGTTTCGACGTCACCCTTTTTCTCAGATCTGATGGCCTGAGTCGATGGTATACGGTCGTTCGTGCTCTCGTTGCGTTCATTGTGCTATCGAGTCGAATATTCTTCAGTGGAACACCGCTCGGATAAGGTTACCTGATCTGGCGATGCTCTTTTAAGCTTTCTAACAACACAGAAGTTACTATTAGCAGTAATTAATTTATAACTAATCCATAATGTTGCCATTTGTACTGTCTACACATGCATTTGTTATGTCTCCGATTGCTTCGAATACACTTGAATTCGTGAAGCCTTCGGGTAGGCTTGTAATGCATGGTGTGGTCGACTTAATTAGCGCCGGTGAAGTGATAGAAGGCACCTAAAACGGTCATTTGAACCATATGTCGATTTTTATAAAAGATAAAGTTAAAAAAATTAAATCGACCTCGTCTTCATGGGCGTATTTGTTTCCCCAGAATAGATAAAAAGTTTACAATTAGTTACACATGATAGTTGCGTCAAGCAAACCGTCACTTATTGGAATGTTAAGGTGCACAGGATAGGGTATTTACCTTCTAACATAATAACACTATTGTGCAGTCATTATATGTTAATGTCGTCACAAGCTTACGTGTATTTCTTAATAGTTTGACCTTATCGGAATTTTATCGTGAGCATACATATGGTGTGCAATCCTATCACATTGCATTGTGAGTCAGGTATTATGGTCTCACATGAGTAATTTGATGTGCCTACCTGTTGAATCATTACTGACGTATTCTACGTCGTGCACACACATCGTATTGCTTCACCAGTCTATGGCAAAGCTACTATCTCGTTTCGAAGAATCCTCTTACGAACCAGACTTACCCTCACTTATTGATCCTGTTATCACATTGCCGCTTGCTTGTTTCGATATTAGAATATCATTATTCTTGCATCATTATTGCTGTAAAGGTTTATCTACCCAAGTTTATCATACAGCTTTGTTACGTCGAAATGGTCCGGCGTGGCAAATTCCTATTCTACTTGCGACTAGTGATTATTTGGTGTCAAAAACTGACCTGAAGATCTAATTCCCACAGGAACCTGCTATATTCTCGCGCATTGGCTGAAGCAGTACAGTTTAATGCATCGGTCTTGCTACTCAACGATTCACGCAGAAGAATCAATGTTAAATTAGGAAACCAACAAAAGAGACAGCAGTACGTATGCTCGCTATATAAGTGCTTCTTCAATGTCCTCAAGCAAAAAGGCTTTAATAAAAGCTTTTAATTGCTCCTTAACCAACATGTGAAGACCTGGTTTCGGCCCAAATAGAGCTCCCTTATAGTGAAGTCAACGGTATTTCCTATACCAGTACGCTAAGAAAAAAAAATCGCAAATTCGTCATCGACCATTCAATTTGAAATGAGCAGAGTCTAGACAGCTCTGGAGAAGTGTAATGTGGAACTAGATCGCCTTGATCCTAACTTGCCTCCTGTTCCTTTCCATAGTTGTTTTCCAGCTTTGTTTTCTCATTCACTAGTGTTCATCTGCGCTATAAAGGGAAAAATGTGCAACTGATTTTTAATTGATTAAATGGATGCATAAACAATGGGATGATGTCAGTTACTGTTTTATTTCTCCCTATTTAACGGCACAAACAGTTCTCTTTCCTATGCTGAATGTGGCTGGCAGCTCTTTCATTTCAACAATTGTTTATTTTTACAAGATAAAAAATGATTACTGTCCAATGCCCAAATCTGAGAAATCTCTATCATTTACTCGTATTAATCAGAAACAATCTGTACAGTAGAACTATGTACAAACAACATTGGCTAAACAAACTTATGGAATGATTTCCATCGTGACTAAGAAATTAGCACTCGTATTAGACCCATTTCCTTTTTGAAACATCGGGAACACTAGACGTTCGTTGACGCGACCGTTGGACTCCAATGGCAGGAAAATTCTCCGAAAGATTGGTTTTTTTTCTAAAAATGAGTAAAAAGTAATAGATTGTTCTCTGACCCCAATTAGAACATTTCTTAATTGCTCTTTCATTTATTACCAACAATAAAATTGGTGAAATATTGCATTGTTGATCGCTTTAGTATTAAATGCTCACTAAGAAGAGGATTTGTGAGGTGATAGGAGCGTATGGCACTCATCACAAAAATCCCGAGGAAAATTGGCCGTAGCCGTTAGTGGTGGTAAAATGGTTTAGTAAGAAGGCGCGGGAAGCACGAAATGGAACGAATGGCGTGTTATGAACTTGTCACCATCCATAAATCGATGTGCAAAACCGTATTGGAATAAAAAAGTTTGTAAAATATTACATTAATAAATTCTTCGAACCATACGTTTCAAGTGCCACATTCATAAGCATATTCCTTTTCTTTATGACTAATTGAGGAGTAACATCATACATGTCGATTCGAGAGATGGTCCGCCGAGGAAGACAAAACTCAATACGAAGGCGAAGACGTTACATCGAGACGAAGAAGAACGATGGACCATCAACTCGGAACGCCAGCTCTGATGAAGCCGAAGACGTCGAAACGTTAGCCGAATAAAACTGTTTATCAACCTCGCCGTAAGCTCATCAAAAAAAGAATACATCACACTTGTATTCCAAAAAAACAACGCCGTTCGTTCTTGTAATCGTGAACGGACGACTTCGGACATACGTTGAGGAATTACAGGCCTAGTGTTGGCTTGAGATTCCATGAAATTAAAATGATAAAATCTCTTATGAAAGAGACGTCATTTAAATGTTAGCGATTGGGAACCGAAATCCGTGTTATCATCCTCATATCAGCCCATCGAGGACATTTCGTTAAGAGGAAATTCCTTGATCAACTACGAGAAAAGTTGTACCGAATAGAGCAAACTGGTGGTCCACTCCCACCTCCCACTTGACTACTTCTCTACTTAAGTGGATCACGGACTTCAGACTCACCCTTTGGCCATAATAACATTTCCTCGAAAACTGATAAGAATTTATTCCAAAAGAAATAGCATAAAAATATTTCCGTGTTATCGATTTTCCACTGTTCATTGACTGACCGAATTCAGGACAATAATTGCACTTAGTTTACAGTGATTACCTTAAGGTCAATATTCACTCAGTGATACAAATGTTTCTTAAAAGTGTCATTAAAAAAGGGAAGAACTCACTCAATTGTTTCGGAGAACTTTCGTATTAATTTCTTGCCGCTTGCTAATGGTACACTTGCGGACATGGCCACCGTTGCAACACCTTAAAAAACAATTACTAAGCAATGGATAAATCTCACTCTCTACCCCAGTGAAGGAGGAAACACGTTTCATGTACGAAGACACAAATGAAGAAGGACACTTTGTAAATCGTACAAGATTACTCTTCACCTTTTTCCACGTCTACAGGAGAACTAAAGAATCTGGCCATACGTGACACCACTGATTTCCCGTTTTCTCGTCGTGGAAAAATAACGAAAAGGCTGAGTTGAAGCACCGCTAGAGCCATTCCGATGCCGTTTGGCACCTGAGGAATTAAAATTATCACGAATACGAAATTCCACCACAACGAAAATTCAATACATGTAATAAATAAAGCATAGACAGTTCAGCTATGATGAAACTATTAGGAATGCGCAATGTATTCGCTAGCATAGAGCATCGAAAGGATGATTGCTTGCATATTTGTCTTGTTCACTGGTTTGCTATGCCCTACTCAATTGATCAGACCATTGTTTTTTATTCTCTTAAAGAAGTCTGGGCGAAAAAAGTCCAATGTATAGTACAAGCAACCATCTAGGGTCGACAAATTTCTACCAGACTTGTCTCGGGAGATAGAAAACACTGACTTCACACATCGATAGGCTTCCATAAGTTATTTTATGAGTCAAATATATACCAAGTCAACTGCATACTGCCAATTAATGGCGCATCCCTAAGGGATTGTTTAATGCCGAACGCTTCAACCTTAACCTTTTAGGCTTCTACTGTCTTCAGGACAAAAGCTCTTCACATTTGATAGATTTAATAATCATGATGCAAAAAGAATTACGTAAAGCCTTCAATATATGTATTAGTATTTCTAAGAGGCCTAAGATGGCATCTATATAATGTTACACTCACGAGTTCCTTTTTCACCCAGCTTCAATCAATACATAACTGACCATAATGTATGCGTCGCGCACGATATTCCCGTAAAGGAACCATTGTGATGACACTAACAGATTCGCAATACACAACGGCAACGGTACCGTATCACAACAACGCTTTCGCAACACAACACCCTTAAATCCAATAACATTAAAGAAGTGTAAAATAGCGACGATAACTGCAACGAACCCTCAGGCAACTTACCAATCCGGCCAGAGGTGCGCCGAAGTTGAGAATATTGAATGTCATACAGACAAGACCTAGGTAGTCCATATTTGGACGCCATTCAACTAAGCCGATCATGGTACCAATGAGTGACGCAACCAACAACAATTTGACACCAAATCGCCACTGAAAGCAGCAACAGTGATCAATTTTCCACAAGAACTACTGTATTTTCAGCTCTATTGACTCATTTCTATACGCTTAGTTATTCAGCTATATCCAAGTTTTTATCCATGAAGAACGTTGTTCTTTCCTCATAATGCTTATATATGGACTGTTCCAGCTACTAAAGTCAAGACAGTAGTCAGATTGATCCGGCTGGGTTCAGACTTTGGTCTCACTATCGTACGCCACTGCGATCGGCTGTTCAACTTGACGACCCACCCTCTTTGTCAACTCATATGATCGATCATTCCCTAACTAGCGAAAACTGTCTCGCTATGGTAAAAACTGGTTCTTTTTTATATCATCATTCTCTCTTAACTGTAATACTTAACGGTGATAATAAGGGAACTAATGATCATGAAAGAGCAGTTCAATAACAAAGTGACCAAATATTTTCTTGTTAGTTCCCACCATTTTGCCATTCAACACGTTTTTTCTATTTTATTAATGTTTAAAAGCAAATACTTACAAATTTGAGTAAAATTCAGACGTTGGGCACACATCGTTCGAAAAAATGTATCCATAACTTAATCGCATGGGGTTCAAGGCGAACCAACTTCGACCACCGGCTTTTAAAGAGCCTTACTAGCCATTTTTTCGAGTTAAACGAGTGTTTTAGAAACAGAAAAGCTAACCTTTGGACTTGTGTAGGCAAAATAGTACAAGCAGTATATAGAGAATAAGGTGACGCCGACAACGTTAACGATAATCATTGTGTTGTCCATTTTGAGAAGCCCATAACGCAACCAAAAGGAACCTCTGAAGTAAGTTTGCATAATCAATATGTATTATATACTTATATCATACCAATGCTTAGTTAAATATAGCCCAAATACATTCTATACACTAAAACTTTCTTGAGGTCTGAATGATTAGGAAAAAACCCACCCTAAAACTCCCATGAGGAATGGTACTCCACTAATATCCGTCGTGCCCTTTCGTCGCATTATTTCGATACAGATTGGACTGGAAATTGGCATCTTTTGGTGGTAACTCTCCATAATTCTCCAGAACAATACTTTAGTAATCAAAAAATTTCCTTACTAAGTTTTTTTTCAAATGCAAAACTTTTTTAATGCAAAAAAGGAGTGTTACGGTACTTACATTCCGCATAGGAACAAAGCAATTGTGGTGATGATTGCGCAACATGATAGAATTTGAAGAATAAGTTGTAAGTCCATTTAAATCTAAAAATACGATTGAATTAATATGATAGTCAAAATAATACATGAGGATCTCGTAACGCTAGCGATCACTAGCACGATGACGTTCTAGGCCAAAGAGTCGTTGAACTGGAAACAAGTTCTTGGGCTGATCAAGAAACCAACAGTAGGAACGAAAGGAGAGACCATGTTTTCATAACGAGACAATGAAAGGAGTTCACCGATTGTTACACAGTGCATTGAGACAAATAAGAAATAGATAAATTGTAGGTGATCACTGACGATGAGCGATGTTCGATGAGACCTTTATAGTGGATGTCGCATGTCCACCATCACATGACTAACTTCTATGTAATCGAACTCAAAGTACGATGACGAACTTGACTTTGTTCTTTATACTCAACAGCTACTTCCCTTCAATGAACACCGCTAAAGTATTTCTGTGTATTACAAGCAACAACCAACCACTCTGTTACCATAACCTATGACAACCAATCATAACCATCTCACAATTGAAAACTACCAAATTGAAAATGAGTAGCAAAAGTGTGATACGAATCATCACGATAATAGCAGGAGACACTGATGGTCTACTATGTAATGAGAACAATTTCGCTAAATACTACACGTAGTAGAATCCGGAACTGAACCAATTTTAAAGTTACAGCAAACTTGGCTGAATGCGCCACGGTAAACGTGGAAGCGATAGAATGATTGACGTATAATAGAGAAAAAAAAACGGAAACAGTTAGCAACATATGATGAAATAAAGACATAACTAAAACGCAAACAATCTCAAAGGACCCAATTCTTGTGTCAATAGGTTTCTTTTTTCACAAGTCATACCTTGCATATACATATATACCTGTATATATATATATCTATAATATTACTTGATACTTGAATGGACCGTCCTCACTGATTGTGCGGGCCCCAGCATAATTTCCATTTCTCGGAGATTTGCTGGTTAAGCCACTATGCTTACTTTTTTACTTTCTTGCCCGGAAAGGACAATAGCGCGTTCGTTCCCCACCGCAGACACCTGCGGTCCGGAGTTTTGCAAATATCTTAGCAATCTTGTGGTTTTATTTCGCTTAATGCTAGCCATTATGGTTCTCTGGAGTCCCGAGGTCAGGCTAGCCAAAGTCCGCCCCAGGTCTTCACCACTACGGGCAGTCGCAGCCCTTGTGGATCAGAAGGAGATTTGCCACCATGCGACTTTGATACCAGGATGGTGGTGGATCCTGGTATTGGCTTACTCTTAGCTGGGCTTCCTGATGGAAACGCTGGACTCCTTCTCAGCATGGGAGACCCTGCCAGGAGATGAATCCCACGATGTGCATTGCAGTCCGACACCCAGGAACACCTCCCAGTCCCGATGAGGCGGTGAACCGTTGGGTCAATATAAAATATTACCGCATAAGATTTATGATATGGTACATACATATTATAATATAACAACAATGTAATGTTATTGTGGTGATCCTCATGATCCTTGGTTTAATCCCGCCCTGAGCCTAAAAATTAACAAGTCAGCGCGTGCTTGTGGTGACGAACTGGTGAGCGTCTAGCAATGCTATCCCATCATTTTAGAAAGAACCAATTGAACTAGTATTCTTTGATATTTATGAGGAACACTGAATCCTGGAGCATCGGCAGAGTCTCGAGATAGGTGAAACCTGTCGAAATTTCGTCCACTGTGAAACAAATACATTACTGACAATCTCGTCACTTTATTGTAAAAGGCTTGAAGGAATCATAATAGAATAATTTTGAATGAAACTATCGGAAATGATATGTAGAGTGATAAAGTAGATTCGACTGTGACTTCTACAAGGAATATGGAATGACAAAAAGGTTTGATGATAACCATAGCGGCTTCCGAAAGCCAAATTACAGTACGTTAGGTAGTACGGCATAACGGACGGTAAATTGTCACTTGGAAAACTAGCCTGTCGTTCGAATTTAGGACGACAAGATAGTCGGTAATACTGTGGGCAGAAATCAAAGATGACCACTAAAATGACATAAGATTTTGTAAGATTAAGCGGCCGTATATGCACCCAACCTTGCATGAAGAATTATTGATAAAGCACTCCTTGGTTAGGGATGACGTTATTTTATAATCTACAAACAGTTGCATAATGTTTACCTTTAAAGAAAAATTACTCGAAACAAATCCTGTGCAGTACGCCCTCTCCGCTCTCGGTAATGGACACCTATGGGAAGGAAAAGGGGCTAAAGTGGGTGTTGATGCTAACGACACTCAATATGAACAACGTTTCAGATTTGAGGAAAAATGGTAGGAAACCCCAGTAGTAAAAAAGAGCTTGAAAACATGGAAACATCAAACTACTACCGAACTCTGTTCCACTTTTGATAATGATATGAATAAGACACGGATTTATTAAATAACGACAGAGAAATGAAATAAAAACGCATACAACTAGACGCGAAAAATAAATTTAATGAGGAAGAATAAAAATAAAAGTGACGACCAGGTTCAAAAGAAAAACACGGACGACAGGGAAAATCTGTAAAATGAAGGCTTTATTAAGAAAAATAACAAGAAGTAAAAGTACGAATGGAAAATATAAACTGATAAATTCTAAGCAAAACCTAAAATGGACCATAGGTTGAATGAGGCAAGCCTAACTGCATAATTACTTGTTTTTATTCATATTATCAAGACGACCCACTCACATGGTTAACTCTGTGTATGAAAGTGAATGCTGAGAGCGCGATCGTGGAAAACATGTGACGCTCGTAATAACAGACAGCAGGGCACTCCCCTTTATTTTGGGTTAGCCATGAAAACCACGGAAGTGACGTCTCGAATACTGTAAAAGTGAACGTGATCGCGTCCAGAACTCATTCACTGGGGTACGAATCACAAACGATTCATGCGGCTCTAGAATGATCACTGCTTTCAAATCCCACGACCGACTTTCTATTAACCTCGGCACTGATCAAGAAATTCTTCGTATTCTTGTTGAGCAAATGCGAGGTGTTATTTTATTCTTTATTCATGAACAAGCTGAATTTACGCCCCTGAACATGGCGGATTTCGCCCTCCTCAGAGCTTGGAAAGGTCAAGTTGACAGCAATCTATTCGGCCAAACACCTCCATAACCAAGCAGAGAAAACGCTAAACCAAGATTTCAATCACAGTGAACAAAGAATAGCTTCTTTGCACATTCACCGCTTTCTATGAGTCTTCCACTGAGTACGTCGCATGGAGACCAACCGCACAGAATTCACATGGAAGCGTAATGTGCCCTCCCATCAGAATAACAGGCTTATATACTGCCCAATATGACGCGTGATAATGAGGTGTTCCTCCTTGCGGTTCACTTTTAGATACTTGGAATTAATAACTCGAAAGACCGACTTTCTGTAAACCTCGGCATAGATAACTGATATATTTATTTATGTGATCTTATAAACTGATCTTTTTAAGCTGACGCGAGGTTGGTACAGATCTTCGTTGTCGTTGTCGTTGTTTTTGATGTTATTGATCGATGGCTGAGGTTTCGGCGACTTCGCCTTCCTCAGAGCCTGGACGTATTTAATGCTAGAATATTTTTATTATTCGGTGGAAAAGAAAAGTTAAAGTGTTAATGAAGATCAAACTTTCAAATAGACGCCATAGTGAACAGAAAAGCCACTCATCGTGATGTTGCGTGCGGGACTGCCCCACGCGTTGTTTTCGTGGAGTCGCGAGCAAGACACACCCCGGGGTCAAAATATCATTTTGAAATAGGGCGCCAGGTCACGCGTGATAGTGAGGCATTCGTCCTTCCGGTTCATCTCTGGATTTTTGAAATTCATCCAAAACGCCTCAAGAGTTTTGCGCGTTGATGTTTTTGATTCCTGCGCTAGGATCCGCACATTCACTTCAAAATCATCGCCGTTGTGCTTTTGTGCCCTATGCGTACCTAGAGGGGTGTTTAAACGGATTTTAGCTTTTCCACCTAGATGTTCTTTTATGCGGACACAAAGTGGTCTACCCGTTTCTCCAATATATTCCTCGCCGCATGCATTACATGAGATCAAGTATATTATACCTAAACTCATGGAACCCCCGTCTCTCCCGTTGGGACACATCATACAGTCCTTTTGGTGAAACTAGAATAACAGGTTTTCATACTGTCCAATATCACGCGTGATAATGAGACATTCTTCCCCGAGGTTCATTTTCGGATTTCCGGAATTAATCCAAAACGCCTCGAGAGTTTTGCGCGCTTGTGTTCTCCATTCCTGTTCGAGGATCGTGACCCGTACTTCAAAGCCGTCCCGTTATGTTTCTGGGTCTTATACGTGCCTAGTGGTGTATTTGGTTTACGTTTGCCGAATAGGTGTTTTTTTATGCGGACACAGAGTGGTCTACCCGTTTCGCCAATGTATTCCTCTCCTCACGCCTTACAGTAGATCAGATAAACTTACCCGAGCTCATTCAACCACCGTCTCAAGCATTAGGGCAAATTATGCAATTCTGCGTTGCACATAGACGGTCATATAGGCGGTTAGGAACTAGCTGGCGCCTAAAGGTACTCGGTGTCATTTCAGCTACGTTTACCGAATTCTCTAGACCCGCCCTTCTTAAGTAGCGTTTTATAGCTGTACTTACACTATCTGAAATAAAGGATACGATAAACGGAACCTTTTTATTGCTAGAGTTGTCATCTGGGGACCTACGATGTCCCCTACACCAATACCGAGCTACAGCTTCGTAGCCATTAGAAATGGCTACGTGCCGTGCTAAGTTCCGAGACTCCTCTTTCTGCTCTCTTCCCGTTCGCACGTTCGTTGCTGTTTCAAACATGTTTCTTACAAGCGCCCTTTTCGCGTAAGAGGGGTGGGAGGAGGGGTAATGAACTAAGATGTTTTTCCTTCTAGGCTTTCGATACCACTTCGTAATGTAGCCATTTTCTGAAAAGTTAATTTGGACGTTCAGGAATGGAAGATATTTTTTTCGGTTTCTCTGGGGTAAACTTGATATACTCTGACTGTTCGTT